ATATATATATATATATATATATATATATATATATATATATATTTGAATACTTATAGAACTTCCAAAATTAGTGTCATACCAGGAAAGTAAAGTAAGATAATATAAGAGACACTGATGAGATAGATCAATTACATAAGAAAATAGTAGTTTCCCAGTCATTATTGATAGTGAGGCACACTATTTAATGCCTGTGACATACTGTTTCATTTCACATATGTCAGAAAACACCAAAAACTAGTGTGAAAATGCTATATGTATACAAATATGTACAAACATAGAAAATATCTACTCATAGCATATGAGGTTTCATTGTCTTTCCTAAAGACAATGAAAGAACTAATTGGATATTAGGAGGATGGTAGAATAGGCACACAGCAAGGCTCATTTCCTTGACCAGGAAGTCACTGAATTGATTCACCCTGCAGCTTCTGTGAAATTTCTCAGTGAGAGACTCTAAGTTCCTCTTAGATAAATCCAGTTGAGATACAAGGATATACAGGTGAAGACAAAGCATTCATTAATTGAAATCATGTAATAAACTGACACAGACTTTAGATGAATCTCCTACCTTAAATGGATATCTGCCAATTTCAGCCTCCAGCTCTTCGGGGGTGAAAATCTTCCCTATGAATCTTTTAGCATCATATATTGTGTTTTGAGGGTTTGAATCTGCCAGCTCTAGGCTTTCGTATCCCACGTACACATCACCATCCGTAAAGGACACCATGCTGGGTATGCTGAGATGCCCGTTTTCATCTGGAATCACCTTTACTTTCCCTGTTCCAGGAAAAAACACACCAACGGAACAATAGGTGGTACCCAGGTCAATGCCAATCACTTTTGGAGTAGGCAATGGTAAATACTGTTGTGCCAAGTAGCCAGCCAGCAGGAGAGTCAAAACAGCTGAACCTGAAAACAGACCAAGTAAAAGACACATCTTTACCAAGCCACCACTAAACACTGTTCCCATAGCAACATATCGTTAATAACACTACTGCAACAAATATTTCACTTTATAGGATTAATGACTAATTCTTTTAGACACTAAGCATTTCATATTCCAATGGGATACAATTAAAAATAAAGACAAGAAAATCAATCAAATGCCCTTGCCACTGTGTTTTTTTTTTTGTAATTCGCTATATGAAAATAAAGGAATAAAATATAAAGATAGTTCAGTAATAATTATGCTGCTGCCCAGTGGAAGCATCACAAATGTAAAGCAAAAGCTGGCTCAATCCACTTTTCTTGAACTATAGATATTTAGACTGGTAGCTGAATTCCTAACCAGTTTTATCTATGTTACCAAAATGAAATTCCATTATGAAGTTCTCACGGCAAAAGCTTTGTTACTGTAAGGTTAATAACCTCTTTGATTATCGTCTTTACCCATTCAAAAGAATGAAATAATTTGGATGCACCGAGTTTTAAAATTGCTTAGGTATTACTGTTACCTCATAACAGAGCCCAATGAGTGTTTTTGCATATTGAAGTATGAATTAAGGGCATACTTCTCAAAGAGGTAGTAGCTACAGAAGTATGCAAGTGCTAACCCTGATGGCAACAACATGGAAGTCTCCTGAAGACAAGTTTGTCCGCCACTGTATTCCACAGCAGGAAGCAGAGAGGCCCAGCAAATACCAATTCAAGAAAAAAAAAAAGAAAAAAAAGATCACATGCAAACGTCATGCCTACTGTACCCCCAAAGCGAGTAAAGACACCGCTCTGAATTCAGAATTAATGTCTGCGTTAATCCACCTGTTCCCACTCAGACTGATGCTAAGAAACCAGCATGTCCAGTCCGTAGTGCTGCTGGCAATTGCGGGGTTCCAATCAACGCCTGGCTCACAGTAGCTCAGCCTACCCACTTGTCTCTTCCAACCTACAGACAAATCTTCAAAGCCTTTCATCACCACTAGCAAGGGGATGCAATTCCCAATCGCTGAGTTCGAAGGGGACTCCGGCTACACAGCGCAGGGGGGACCAGAAGGCCCTCCTCCCAATTCGGCATCCCAGGCGTCTGCATCTCGAGACCCCCTCCTCTTACTCCACACCGGGTTCTCGCCCCCTGCACGGACAGCCGAATCCAGCTACTAACTCGAGACCGTGGCTTTGGCGCAGGACTCACCATGCCTGGGGCCGCGTCCCCCAGACGTGCGGCTGC